CATTTTTTGTGCGATCCTAGGACACAACTGTCTGCATGATAAGATAACTTTGATTAAATGAGCTGCTATAATGACAACGTTCTTACAGGTTGTTTCCATTTTCAGCAAAGAATGAGCCAAATTTGCCATGACATATCTACTGTCTGAAAACTCTAGCCACTCAATTATACCAGATAAAGGATCCCTTTGAAATTTCTTATAGGATTTTATTGTCATTTATGTGCCATTAAACATGATACAAGTATTTGACACAAATCAAATTAATTTTGCTTTTCTCTTTCCAGACACTTAAAAAAAAAAAAAAAAAGTTCAATAGTTTAGTTTAGTCCAAACTGGCTCTCCTTCATTAAGAACATGTTTTTTAAAGGTTGATGCACTGTGCATTTTGAAAAATAGTTCCCAAAAAGATGTTTTGTAAACCATGGAAAAAGTAACATATAAACCACATGTCATTTCACTCCTTTTGTGGTATTTTGATATACCAGCTTTATTATATGTTCAAGAAAAACAACTTTCAGGAGACTTTTCTCTATCTTACAATTTCTGCCCTACTATCCTACAGCTACCAAAGGGGTGCTGGGTGGGAGGGTGGCACAAAAGTTTAAGGTTTTGGCTGTTGCAGTACTGTGACTGTGATACATTGAATAACTCAACATTGTTTTAACAGCTTGACACCAGTAAGTGAAAACACATGCCGAGTTTAACCTCTGGTTAGGAAGAAGTATTACATAACATAGCACAGCCAGCAAATTTAGCTATGAATAAAATTAGCCCATTCCTTTCACAAATGTCAATGGTAAGTTTGCAAGTATATTGTAAATACAGTATTCACTCTCAAAGGGATGTCAGTCATAATTACCATAAATACAAATCTTAGCTAGTAGTTATCAACAATATTTTCTAACATTCCTGTATACTTACCAAACAACAACAAACCCCCCCAGTTTAAACTATTATTTTTCCAACTTATCTCCACAGTTGACAACTGTGGAAACAAGAAAGTTTTAGATCTATTTTTTCCCGCATGAGTTTGTAAATCAGGCTCTTTCACATGGTCCCACAAGGAATGTCAAGTCTGTACTCTTTTTCCCTAAGAAGGCAGTAACCAGGAGGAAGGTGAATTAAGGTTCCCTGAGCCCTTCCTGGAAAGCAGAACAGGACAGGCCTAAATCCTGGAAAGTAGAACAAGGGTGAGCTTGAATTCCAATCTACCTGATGACTAATTCAAATAGTAGGAAAACCACAGAGGTTAGAAACATGGGGGAAAAAACATAAAATACAAAACCCACCAACAAAATCAAACCAAAACAGAACAACATTCAGACTCTTCTTTTTAAAAACTTTATACAACTGTAACTCTATAAGAAGGGATCAATGGATCAACCCCAAATTCTTTTCAGCTCTACCAAAGAAAAACAGAACATGAAGATACACAAAAGCTATCAGAAACAGATATTATAGTGAAAAACTGAATTTCTAAGCACATCTATGTTGTAACTGGAAAGTCAACTGGCAAAAATCAAAAACATGTAATACTGTTTTACCAAACACTAAGAACTTGTTCCATAACTGTTGCCTTCAACAACATTTGTATCAGGTCCAGCTGGAAAGATGACAGTGAAACATGGTTTACAAGGCACTAAAATCTTGTGGATTATGTCCTGTAACTTGTTTATTTTTGGTTATGTAGCTTTGCTTTTTCACCTCCCTCTCAGGTTCAAGATGCACTGCTTACCAGCTCCTTCTCTAAAGACAGGACTTTTTGTACTCAATCCCTGTCTAGAGAGATAATACTGCCTTCTTCAAGGATGGAACGTTTCAGCTGCACAAAACAATAAAAAATAGAGAAAGTACGACAAGTTATAACTCTGACACCTATACATTGCAACTGTTTCCACCCATCATTAAAATATTTCAAGTACAACAGTGCTGAACTGAAGAATTCTATGTTGGATGACACTGGCATAGTGGCATAATGGAAGAGACAAAAATAAGTTGAAAATGTCCATGCCTCTCTTCTTTCCGATGAAGAAGAAAGCTTTAGAAGCTGGACATGGTTGAAGGGACAGTGGCTCAAACACTTGACAAAAGACTCTCCCTAATAGTACCATCATCTCCAGCCCTGCTGTTCTGTGACCCCTCACATAATCTCCATGGACACTGAGACTACAGAATTTTCTTGGCAGCTGATCCCTCAAATGGATACTCATGAAACACAAACATAATTGTGAAAAAAGCATCACCTCCACAGTAAAACACAATACCCACCAACCTTCCCCTTTCAATTACAGTGCCCTTACTTATATCTATAAAATCTTAATGTAGAAAGAGTCTGAATTATGACACAGTTTATAACTGCCTTATCACTTGTCATTTGCTACCATAAATGTGACAAAGAACTGCAAGAGAAAGGGTGTTCACTTGCGCTGAAGGCACTACACTAGGACCAGATATAAGTACAGACCTATTTTCTATACAGGCAAAACTATTATAATGCAGGATACATAGAAGCAGCGTAAAGTTTCCACTGGAAAATTTAACTGATATTTCCCTGATTTTGATTATTTGAGTTGTGTTAGAAGCATTTCCAAATTATCCCTCCAACAGTGCCTTAATTTTTGAAATAAAAATAATTGAATTTGTTGATGAAGAACACTCTTTTGAGAACAGCAATAACATTTTCTTTGTCATTCTAATCAATCACACACCTGTGCAGGTGAAACTATAAAAATATAAGGGAAAAGGGAGTCATATGTGTTCCAGCCTCCTGAACAGCATATTTGCACACAGTCTCTCCAATAGCTCTTGAAATCACTGACATCCGAAGGCTATACTGGCTCTGCTCCTTTGTAGCTGCAGGAGGCAAGATGTTCTTTCCACCCTGTAACACTGAAAGAAAATCCCGGTCCATGAGACAGGGGATCAGGGTGTTTCACCTCCTAGAGAGAAAACTTGAACACTAGAATTCTGAAGTGGTAGTAAGAATGGCAAGATTTACACTGAGAACCTGTTTGCAGGAGTCCCTGCACCACTAATCAAAGCAAGTTTGGCTAGATTGTTCTCCCTCAAGTTATGAAATTGATTCCACTGTTCCCCATTGAGCAGTAGCAGCTTTGAAAACTCAGTTGCATAGTTTGTGACTTGAAGAGTGTAGGAATCCATTGGAATTTAAGCTTGCTTAGCAGGGCAGAGTAGCCTTCTTAACAGAATACTACCACTACATATCCTCATTCGAAAAACACTTTAAGAGCAAATTACATTCTCTGCTTATGAAAACTCCCTGTCAAACAAAAGTGTTTTAGAAAAAAAAGACAATCCTTTGAACATTTCCAAACAACAGCTAGGTACTAATACACTTGTTTTTTAAATGCAGTCCAATGCAAATAACCTGAGAGTGGCTGCAAACAAAAGAATTGGACTGATGTTGCAACACTGCAATGGGGGAATCTTTAAAGAGCCATTTTATTGAAAAGAAATTAAGTTTCCACCTGCAGCTTTATGCATTTGGCAAACAGAACTTCACTTCTGCAATGTTCTTTTAGGACAGGAAAAAATGCATCCCAAAGTTAATCTCCCACTGACTGTAGTGTATCAGTAGCTTTGTCTGAATGCCACAGTTAACATAACAGCCACTATTCTGTGGTAATGAGCAGAAAGTTCAGTGAAACCATTTAATTATTTAATAAGACAAGTACTAGGAAAGGTCTTTCCCTCAAGGCAGACAATACATACAAGGTTCCTCTTTCTTCAACATCATCCTCTCCTATGAAAACTGTTACATTAATTTACTTATAGATTGCTTTTTTGATAAAACTAAGGTCCTACACTCTGTTTGACTTGAACAACTGCATATCTATCTGTTACTCACAGACTACCCATTGCCCCAGAATGCAGTACTATGCAGAAAACTCCCCATTGTTTTCAGTAGATGAGCTTAAAAGAAAGACACTTCCACAAGAACATCACCAGCAAAGAATTAAAAAAAAAAAAATCTTTAAAAAAAAGTCTCTTGTGGAGGGGTGGGGGGTTGAAAAATCACTTTCCCCCAAAATATTTTTAGGTTCCACATCTATGAACAGAATCTCCTAGAAAGCCATCAAAGTGCTGATTTCTTAATAAATGTTCTCAGAAGGAACTAAATCACAGCTTCCTTTCTAAATGTTACTGGTTGCAGAGACTGCAGATGTAAAATGCATTACAAAGCACAGTGGACTCAGGCAAGCACTTCTACAAAGTCAGAGCAATACGTGCAGTACAGAAACAGTTGTGAAAATGGTATATTAACTACGAAGTGTTTTACGATCTAGATATAGAAATATTATTTTCATGTTATGCTGTGAATGTTCTTCCTGCAGTAATAAAATAGTAGTAAAATGCCAGTGTTACATGGGTCACATTAGCAAGGAAGAGAAGAGATCCCTGCCAGCTTTGCAAATCTACTGTACTTCCAGACTCCAGGAGAAAGGAATAGTTAAACAAATATTCACACAGTTTTGGAGGGTTATATTCTTCTTGTGGAAATTTTCATAAATCATATATCTCTCCCTCAAAATGTATACCAACTGACGTACAAAAGTCAATTCCTATTGAATTGTTAAGGATGGATATAAAGGGAAAGAATAAAAGCTCTTTCAAGACAGAACTGAAATCTTCCACCCACAACACAGGGTGCTTCTAAGCCACATTTTCTTTAAGATCTTAAACCACAAACCTATACAATGCTGTCTAAATCATTATAAAACCACTAAACACAGTTACTTTGTTTCACAGTACTTTTAGAGTCACAAGATACCATGAAAATATTTGAGCTTGTTTTATTCTAGATCTTTAAAGTTACTCTCTTCTACCTGGACTTTGCTTTCTTTCATCTTTTCTATTACCTTTAATAATTCCTAACATGTTGAAAGCAAATTTCCATGGCAAAACACAAGCATTATAAAACAAAAAGCCCCGCAACAGAAAAACAAACAAAAACCCAGAAAGTTGTCATAGCTACTTGCCTCTTGGCAATTTCTGAGCATTTCCCAGGTTTAGTGCAATATATCCACAGAAAAGGAGAAAGACCAATCTTGACATCATGGTCACAAACCCAACCTCGCACTGGGAATGATTCTGACAGGTATCACACAAAAGAACTGCAGCTGCATTTAAGTGAACTGTTCTCTCTGTGACAAGAGGCAGTAACACTTTGACACAAGCTTAGTTTACACAGTGGGAGGAGACAGGATGACATCATTCACTCCCACTGGAAAAAGAGAATTAGCATTAAGAAAAAATTATCAGGCTCCCCCTACAATATTTTTTTCTGGGGTTTGTTACAAGGTCTTTCCACTGCTCAGTATAAGAAATTATCTCCTGATCACTTAAATTCCATGCAAATAAAACCAGAAATATCAAAACTCTTATTAACTGAAAACTGATCTGAGAGACATTTTCACTGTTTTATCCAAGCAAGCTGGACTTAAAATGCAAAAATAACATTCACAGTACTCAGAAAACTGCTTACTGAATTCAGTACTTTTGCAATTTCAAGATTTTGCTTAAGATTAATCCGGGCTAGATGTGGCTTTCATCTAGGCAAAATAAATACTAGTTTCATTTGACATGACATTATAAACAGGTATGATAAATATTTATTCAGAAAAAAATCTGGTTTGGAAAAAACTAAATGTAATTTTCCTACTTGTATCCGATTTTGGCAATTTAAAAATATTTTATATTTTCCCCTCATACAATTGAGTCAATGGGCACAATGCACATTGAAAGCAAAAAAGCAATGCACCTCCTTTACAGGGACTAGATCCTCTTACCAGTTACATCACCGGAAATCAAAAAGAAATACCATTATTCCATTAAAAGCTGTTTCACTCTATGTTTACAATGAGCTGACTAAACACAGAATTTGGTCTGACTCAGAACTGAGAAGGTGTGAAAGAAAGGTTGAAGCAGAATAAAAAGGTTTAAAAAGGTTAAAACTGAATAAGGAAGAATTTAGTCTCAGTATCTAGAAAACATCCCCAAAGAGATAAAATCTATTCAGTTAAGTAGTGATATCTCTCCATAAAAATTAAAAAAAAAACCCAAAACCAAACAAACCAAAACAAACCACCAAAAAAACCAAACTAACAACAACAAAAACCCAAATAAAAGCTGCAAAACCAGTCCCCAGAGAGAAAAAAAAAAACACCCTTCAACAACCAAAACCAAACATATCCATTGCTTGCAATATGTAAAGCAAGCTCTTTTATTATGTTCAGTCTGTTCCCTCTCCCCAGTTGCCTGGACTACTTTCACACAGTGTTCTATAAGCAGAGAAAAATCACAGCATTAGTGCCTGGCCTGTGTAGAAACAAAGAAGTTTAAGATTAAAGGGTAATATATTAAAGAATACAGATTGGTTCTGTAATTAAAAGACCCCATATATTCCATACTTCAGGAAGAACTTCAAAACAGAAGCTAGAGACAAAACAAAGGAATTTCAAGCTCTTCTAATCAGTATGGACAGCACACAGCTATAACAAAAACAGTGTGACAATGGAAGTGTTTTCCAGCCTGATCACACCCTCTTAATTATGACATAAGGAAACCTTTTTTTCTGATTCACTAACTCAAATCTGGGAACAGCAAACTGGAATTCAGTAATATCGATAGACCCCAAAAAAGCCCCAAACACTATTACCTCAAGGATCTTTGGGAGGCTTCAGATCCTGAACATAAACACTATGAACAGATAAATGCAACAGGTACAATTTGGATGAGATGAAAAGATGTTTATAAGGCCATACAGCTGGACAGAAATCTCCCAAAACACCTGATGGCAAAAGTTTCAAATGACAGCAAGTTGGATACATGGAGTAAATGTGCCATTCTTTTTTTGGTTGAAATACTATTTTCAAAAATGCTCCAGAAAGCACATTCTATTTTTTTCTCTTCAAAATTAAAAATAAGAAATCAATCATTTGATGGAGTAGTCTCTCAGGAGAAGTAATGGGAAAAATTAGCTCTTGATCACACACAGCTGTCTTTGTATTAAAGTGGACTCTACTGGTTTGTCTTATGGCACATTCATTCTCCTTTTAAAGATCACACAACACCTTTCAACAAAATATACAAAAGCCAACTTCTGCTCAGAAAAATCTCAGTGAAACCTATTAGTTATCTGGCTACCTAACAAAATGGATTTATCCCCTCTCTTAGAGGCAAATATACTCTCATTCTTGCTTTCACAACCACATGCTTCTCTGCTGCCAGTTACACCTTCCCTCTTCCTCCTGTGCATTATATCCAAACACTTCTGTGTTTGGTACACCAGAGAGACATTTAACCTTCTCCTTGAAGTCCTGACAGACTGTTCAGGTCCCTTTCCCTCTGATCATTCCTGCAGAAAACAGCTCAGCTCAGCCCAGAGTTCAAAAATGCACGTCATGATGCATTTGCTTCTGTTTTAACAAGTATATGCTTCACTGGGGGCAATTATGGTTTGATAAGCAGGTGAGAGTGTAAATTTCTGTCAAATATATGCCAAGACTCCAAAAATCAGTAATATAATATTCTCTTACACTTTTCTAATGAGCCCCCCACATTGGCATCATTTATGTGAACAGTGATTTTGTCCACTTATTTTCTTACCAGACTGACCTTTCCTAGGAAACCTCTGTTACATGAAAAATTGAAAACCACACCAGCTTCTGCTTTCTTTTTTCCTAAATCTTTCTACTGTTCACTGGATGCTGACTACTGCAATGAAACACCAAACATGGGCACAGAAGAGAGTTCCTGGGGCTTCAAGCACTATCCTGTACTACTGGATGCTTCTGTAATGCTGTTCAAGTATCAGATTTCTCCTCTTACTGAAGGGCTGCTCCACAATCTCCATTTAAACAGAGACAGCATCTGGTTTCAGTTCACAGAAATAAAAACTGTATGTCACACTTCACAGCAGAAATTATCCAACCCAGAAGTTCTTCAGGTTTCTCTCATCCACACAAACCTGGAATTATGCTACACATCCTTTGACCCATCAGAAGGAAAAGATTAAACAAAGAAGATCCAGTTCATGAGTTTTGTGTTATTATACCTTCAGCATAAAAGGCAATAAAAAAGACATAAGTGCAGTTATGAAAAGTCTCAAATAGATCAAATCTCTTCAGGAAGAGTCAAAATCTTGGGTCCCCTAATGACTCCTTCTCTTCAGCACCAAATTAATGCTTAGGTAACAAAGCACTCAAAAGTTTTCTTGCTTACCTCAATTTCAACTGAGTCTCTCTGGGGTAGATCTCAAAACCAGAGATTCCAACAAGATGGTATCACAGATAGTCTGGGAGCAGAACAGAGCTTTTCTAGGTCTATTTTAATAGTTCCCAGACCAGCAAGTACAGTGAAAACAAGAGTATGGGAAGGAAAAGAAAAAAGGTAGGGGGAAGGAAGGGGGGAGAGCAGTAGACAGGATTTTACATTTTGTGTCCAAATATGACTATGCTTTTGTTGAGATTCGGGCTCAATTCCAGTTCACCTATCATTCCTGATTATTTTGACAAGCAAAAGCCAAGGTGACTCCACTCCTTACTGTTCCAAGTTAAAGCAGGAAGCGTGTATAAAGCATAATCTTAAAAAACAAAATCCTATCTTCACACTGAAAAGCACAATAATGCTGTACTGAGCTCTCTAAGAGTAAGAGCTTACTTGCAGTACACTTGGTCTCTTTTTTCACAGCCTTGCTGGTTGGTACTGTACCTTTCACCAGTACTGCCAATTATTTGACAAGTACCTTTGTCATAAAATGTGTTGTATAAAAGTTAATTGTAATTATCATCTCTTGTGTGTGACTCAATTACTGGACTCTTTTTCTTCTAAATGTCACGGGATCTCCTCTAAAGGCCTTCAGGAAAAGAGAGATGCCAAAGAACATTCTTTCAGATGTGTTGCTTAGAAAAGAAAAAAAGTAAAAACTTTACTTTCTGAGAGTCTGCAATTACTTCTTCTTTCCCAGTCCCCCCATTGTTATTTTGATGAGCCAACATTTAAACTCTCATGCTATCAAAAACACATGCTAATCTATTAGTCAAAAGGTAAGACATATCTCATCTGATAGCATAAAAATGACAGATAATGTCAGCGCATTCTAGTATCCTGATCCCAAACTGCATTCCAGATCTCCAAATGAATGGGATTGGAGACAAAGTGAAAGGAAGAAAATCAGTCAAATGGGATGGACAGAACAGCTGTTTCTTGTGACATTTTGTTACATAGTTCATCAAACTGTTCCAGCATGCACTCATTTGACACTTGTAATTTCAGACAGTGACTCATCTTTACTAACAGGCTGTGCATTTCACCAAAGTTCTGCATGACATGGAGTGAAGTAAGACAAGCATTTATTTAGGTTCTCTGAATTATTAACTTATTTTATTGTTCCCTTTGTAACTCAAGTAACCTAGTACACTTACTTCCACAGTTCTGACATTATCATGACCTACCATATGGAGAAGCAGTGTGATTCCAGGTTTTCAACTCTGACACTTCTCCGTGACCTCAATATTTTGTATTACTTTATTTGGGGCTTACTTTGCCTTTTTAAATTATTTTGAACAGCCAGGTCTTGAAAGACTCCAAGGAAGGAGACCACTCAGTCTCACTAAGCTCCTGCTCCACTGCCTGACCATCCTCATGGGGAAAATAATTTTGTCTTATAAGCAGTTTAAACCTCCCTTATTTCAACTTGCACCCATTTTCTCTCATGCCCCCACTATGCAACACTGAGCAGCCTAGTTCCTCTTCTTGGCAACCTCCTTGGAAGCACAGGTTAGGTCCCCTGGAGCTGCCTCTTCTCCTGATGGAACAAGTCCCATTCCCTCAGTCTGTCTGAACAAGGCAAGTGCTCCAGACCCTGACCATCCTGGCTGCTCTTCACTGGATTTGCTCCAGTTTATTGGTGTCTGTCCTGTATTTAAGGGCAGGGTGAGAGACCAATACTGGACACTATCTACATACGTGGTCCAACAAGTAGTGAGTAGTGGGGGACAGTTACTTCCCTCCCTCTACTGGCCGCGCTCCTGTCCATGCAGCCCGGGACACTGTTGACCTGCCTTGCTGCCAGGGCACACTGCTGGCTCCTGCACTCCCTTCTGTCCACCAAGACCCCCACATCCTTTCCAGTGGAGCTGCTCCCCAACTGGTCAGCCCCTA